GCCTCTCATGGCTTACCCCTTCCAGAGCCCCCTGGGCGCCCCGTCAGCCTCCTTCCCGGGGAAAGAGCGTGCCTCCCCTGAATCCCTCGACCTGACGCGGGAGACCACCAGCCTGAGGACCAAGATGTCGTCGCACCACATGAACCACCACCCCTGCTCGCCGGCCCACCCCCCCAGCGCCGCCGAGGGCCTCTCCTTGTCCCTCATAAAGTCCGAGTGCGGCGACCTGCAAGACATGTCTGAAATCTCGCCCTACTCGGGAAGTGCAATATCCTTTTCGAACGATGAGTGGTAACCCGGTGGTGGCCAGCAGGAGAGGTCAAGGGGCTGTCCCAGCACCCCAGGGCTTCCCTGGGTGCTGCGGGAGCGGGGCACTCATGGGGAAGCAGGTGAGGGGCTCGGAGGGGCCAAATAAAATACCAAGCGTTGACCAGCGGCACTCCTTCAGCAGCAGCCTTCCCATAAAACAGCCACCCATCCTCCCCAAGCTTTTTAGACCATCCGGTGGGGTCAGACACCAAGCAGAGCCCACGACCCGGGTGCTGGTGGGTTTCCCTGGTCCGGCGAGTCGTTCCCCAGGCAGGGAGGTGGTCAAGGAGGCATCGCCCTTGGCCAGAAGCCATTCAAGTCATGGCTGACTCCTTTCCCAACCTGCGTTGGTGGTGTCGTGGCTGGGGGCCATGGTCCGGCCATCGTGAGCCTTCAGCTCCTGAGCCCGTAAGGGAAAGGAGGCACAAAAGACACAGGTACTGATACATTCAGGCTGCATCAAGTTCTTTCCCCCACCCAGAGGTCTGTTCCTCAGCCCTCGTGCAGCTGCCTGCTATGCATGATTAACCTCTGTTCAGCCATACACAGAAATCTTTTGTCCTAACATACACAAAGCAAATTATTTTGGAAAGCTAGAGAGAACAATTAAATATAAAACTTCAGCTGTATTAAATTTACAGGACACTTCCCCTGCTTAAAAAAAAAAAAAGATAATAAAATCTCTGTTTTTAGCTCAATAGCAGGCTTTAGTTAGGGGTAAAAAATACATCTCTGCCTTTATTTAGGCATATCCAGACATAGTCATGATCTTTTTTTTTTTTTTTTTCCTGGAAACTAGTACTAGGTTCTGGTTTTTGTGGTTTTTTTTTTCTTTTTTAGCAATAACACCTCCCACTCCTTGCATCTTTTCCCCTAATGTGATTTTTAGTCAAAAGATATTTTTTTCCCCAGTGCAGTCGTATTAAAAGTGAATATAATACCATGTCTGCCCGATGTTAAAATTGAGGATTTTCAATGAAGAGCAAATCCCCATTTTCACCCAGCTCCAAGACCCCAGCAAAAGGCAACAGCACAAGCACAGAGCCTTAGATGCAGCTAATTTCATTCCCCAGCTGATGAAAGTAATTGCGACTGAATAACTCTGCCCCTCCCTAAGTAATGGTAGTGATGCTGAGGAACTTGTCCCTTTCCCAGGGGTATCACGTGAAGGTGGATGCACGAGGCTGTGCCCCACCACTGGGTTATCTTCTAGGCGATTAATAACTCTGGTGGTTTGAGATAAATTTAACCACACGTCATGTAGACGTGTTAAGTCTTCAGGAGGGTGCTGGCAGGGCTCAAGACGCACTGGTTACCTGGACTTCCCATGGTAGTGGGTACCAGTGGGACGAAGGCAGGTGCTTCAGGTCCAGAGCCCATCACCACCAGTCTTTGATCTAACTTAGGTCAAGTCTGAGTCAAGAATTGCTGCTCTCTGACCTGTATGAATAGTCCTGTTTCTATAAGGGGAAGAGTTCCCGGTTTGAAAGCACCTTCCTTAGCTGTTGGTGTTTTAAAGAGCCAGCTGGTAGTGGACATGACGTTTGATGGATCTCTTTCCTGAAAGAGGATCTCTCTGCTGCATTGGTAGCAGGGAAATCTTCGCGTCGCCATGTACGTTGTATGGCAAAACAGAGGAGTTGATCTAACACCAGCATCACTCACAGTTACTGCTAATTACTTTAGGGGATCCAAACTGAAAATCTTGCATATTGAAATGCGAGCTGCGATGCTCAGAAAGCAGCCCTGAGGTCAGCAGGAGTGGCAGCCGAGGGCAAGACTCAGGCCAGAGCAATTAAGTAATTCCTACCAAACAGTACAGTGGCATACTAATTGTTTTTTGTTAGAAAAGTAGCTCTCCTATCCTGGGAGAGGAGTGATCAGAGGTGAAAAAATGCCAGGCGTGTGAACTAGGAGTAGTTCTAGGGCTGCACGTGATCCTCTCCACCCGTGGAGCATCTCTCCCTCACCCCTGCCGCTTCTCCCCTTTTCTCCTGCTCGTTCTCGCTGGCGGTCACTAATGGAGCTTGTTGCTTCTGCCAAAACAGGGGTGCAAGAGTCTCCCACCGCTCCGAGGCTTAGCCAGGGGAAGGGCCGAGTGCTGGAGTGATTCCTTCCTCCTTCCTTGTCTCACTTCTTCCCCTGCCGTTGTCAAAGCGCTCTGACTTTCCCACCTAGATGCTATTGCAGGCTGCAGTTTGATCTGGATCTAGATACAGACCTGTTGGGACAAACAGATTTATTAAATAGCGCTTCTACACAACGCGTACCCTGGTATTCGGCTCAGCTGTGGGGATGTTTTTTTCTAGTAGCAGCTCGTTTGTCCAGGTAGCTTGCAGTTTCCAGGGAAAGGCACAGTATGGAGATTGGTTTGTTTGTGGTTGATTCTGTTGTGGCACTTTTATTTGACATGGTTGAATGTGCGTATATAAGGAATATATTTCTTGAGAGAAGCAGATCTTTCTTCCCTGCAGAAAGCAACATCTGTTTTCCTGGACAATACAGCCAGGATGAGAACATAAGACTAGCAGATACAGCCAAGTTCAGATTTTAGTAGCAGGCTGAAACACTGAACCAGCCTGGTTTTTGTGGGTTTTTTTGGTTTTGTTCAGTTTGTTGTGTGTTTGTTTTTTTTTTTTTTAAGTCAATGACTTTCAAATGTATCTGATCATTCTTTGCTGAATTGCAGAAGGAAATGGTTAATGTTTGCGTTTGTTGCTAAACAAGATAAGATGCACCTGCAGCATGAATTCCCGTCTTGGTCATGAATGCAGTCTGTATCTTTGCAAACTAATCTGTTTAATCAAATATTAAGTTTTATTCAAATTCCAAAAGAAACAGACAGCGAATTGTTTTTCTGCATGGTCTTCCTTTGTCATGCGACCTCTTTGCATCTCAAGAAAAATAGCCTTGTCCAGTCCCAAAACATTTGCATGGATCAAAATTGAAGCACAACAGTAGTTTTTGTGCTGTTAAGACATCTGTAAAGGTGAAGAAGTTTAGCGCGCTCTCCCTGGCAGGAGGGCTTTAAAACATTAGTGAAACTTTCTACAATTTATTTATTTTTAAACAGAATTCCAATCCAACTGGAATGAGTTTCACAGTCCCAATATGTGAAAGCTATAATTAGTGAATTACAACATTTTGAAATGAGGAGTTATTACATCTGACTAGAATTAAACTAATTAAACTTTAAAAAAAAAAAGAGCAATTAAACAGCAAGCTGGATAACTCCGTGCTGTTGATAAAACCTGGGTGATGAACAAACACTTTCCAGCCAGCCTGTTCTTTGGAGGGTCTTGGAGATGCTCTGAGACGCAGCTATTTGGAGCTTTGCTGATTAAAAGCACCTGAGGTGTAACTTAAGGAGCAGCTTGGCTTTGTTAGTGCAGATTTTTTACCTGATACAGCCTATTCTTGCCTCTTTTCCTTCTGCTCAATACATGTGTGGGTGAGAAAAGCGTTTGTGGGAGCTCAGGCTGAGAGTATCAGGAGTGAAAGATCACGGCTGAGATATGTTTTTGCAAAAGAGGAGCGTTACCTGGGAGGACTGAAGTGCAAATGAGTCAAATGCTGCGCAGTGCCACCCCTGTGCGCCCCCAGTTAACACACACGAGAGCGTGTGTGCGTTTCGTTCCCAGCCTTTCGCTCCCTATTTCTTAGCGTTTTGCCTTTTTTTGGCTGCTGCTGCTGCGTTAGGTGAGGCCACGCTGTACTGTGTAAACGCACAGCGCCGAGACTCTCTGGTTGTTTGAACACCGCTTTAGGTTCAGCTGCAGTACGCCGTTCCTCTGATCTTTTATGTTCCTGAGCAGATGTCTTTCATTAATTTATGGATTTATCATCTTTTCTTTCTCTCCTTTTTTTTTCTTTCCTTTTTTTTTTTTTTTTTTTTTACACCTGGCAGCTGGCTCAAGTTTCAGCAGTTATTGTCTATTTTGCATTACCCATAGAATTGAATGTCATCTGTCTTCACAAAGCTATAGCTAAGAGAATTGAGGCAAGCCACACGAGCTGCTGGGACAGAGCTTGTTTGCGTTCCATTCGGCACCCCTCCTCCCTTTACCTCCTTAATATTTATTTGTGCTCGTTTTCTTTCCTGGCCTTGAATGGGGCTTAGCTCGTGTTCGGTACAGCTGTATGTTTACTGAATCTATTTCATCATGAGTCATTGTGCGTGTGTAAGTATCCTGGAAACAGCTAGTGCTTTCTTGGAAGAACAGTTGCTTTTCAGCCCAAGCACTTAAAAAGGAAATTAAGCAATTGGTCAGTTCAGTTTTTTTCTGAAATAGCAATGGGTTATCTAATTCTTAGCTCTTAAGTCTGTCATTAACTATTTTTTGCTAGATTATTACAGATCATATCTTTTATCACAGTAAAGCGTTAAACTTAGGATCAAGATGTACAGATTCGTTGCATATTTGATAACGCTTTAAGGCTGCCAAGTGCTTAAGAACAAGTATAAATTTAATAAAAAATGGATTTCTGGGAATTTGAGTCTCAGAACATCTTTTAATACGTGTTTCATTCAATATCAATATCCCCTGGCATTAGGGCACAAAATATTTAAAAATCCTAAATGCAGAAGGAATGCAAATGCTTAGACAACTGTCTAATATGCTTAAATCCAGCAAATAGGAGAGATTTTTTTGAAAGTTTAAGTCCATCTTTGAGCTTGCATTGAGAGAGAATACGCCAAACCTGGTATTAACATGTCGTCGGCGTCAGAAGAATTGCAAATTAAGGAGATTTAGGATTATTTTTTTTCTTTTACTTATTGGAGTACCCCTTTGGACCCTTGCTTTCCTGAAAGGATCGCATAACAAAATGGATTTCTAGTGTAGAAGTTTTGATTTGTCTAAAACTCTTATCACTAAGCAATAGGTGACAGCTTGCTACTATTATTTCACTTACGTATTTTGACAGATGGCACTGCAGAGTGTAATGCTCTTTTAGACTTCTCTATCAGTCTAATGGAGGTAACTGAAGGTTCTTTCAACTCTTCTCTTGGCACAAGAAGTATGTCAGTCATAAATTATCTTCTTTGTAATCATTAAGCATCTAAAACAAAATGCAAGTTCAGCTGAGCCGTTTTCCATGTACTTCCAGATAATAAGAGGTTTTTAAACTAATATTGTCAATGACTTTTTTTTTCCTTTAAACGCTGCATTTTTTCCAATCTAAAAATGAACCTTGTGACTGAAATAAAAGGAGAGGGTTTCAGTAGGTTTCACGAATTAGAGAAAAAGGACTTCTGCTGAACAAGCCTAGCTAATCATCAGTAGCCTGCTGATAAAAATTAGTCTGGGTTTCCCATCTCGAGGCCTGGAATGAGCTGTTCTGTGCTGACGTGCGCCTGGCCGTGAGGTGGAAGAGGCACCTTGGCTGCAGCGCATCTGTCAGCTTGGTTGACCTTCCCCCGCCGTAAGGTGTGAACCGAGTGAAATTTTCAACAATTGTGTTTAGGAGAAACAGTCCTTAGAGAAGCTTCTGGGAAGAACCCTTAATTGACCTTGTGGGGGCCACATTGATTTTCTCCACGTGCATCTTCATTTCTGATAAATTATAAAGCCATTAATTTGCTGAGGAAATGGCAGGGCCAGCCTGCGGCACAGATGTGACCAGAGCCGTCCTAGCACGCAGCACACAAAAGAGAGCCAAGAAGCTGGGAGAAAAATCAGCAAGCCGGAATTGTTATGGTTAGCTTCACATTCCCTTGGGAACTCTTTTAGTTGCTACTGTTTACAGATCTAAAAGGTAATGATGTTTCCAGGATAAATAGGCTGCCTTATAGGGTAAGTGGCCACTTATTGATCTGCTAGCCCACATTTATCGATCGGTTAGCCCCAAATACAGCTTCGTTCTCCGAGGAGTTAACTGTGTAAATCAGGAGGCGACAAGTTTGGGGGTGGGGGGAGAACTGAGTGGCAGAGGGGCTCTGCCTATTGCAAATTCCGCTTTGATTTGCAAGGCAGCCACTGGAGCACAGCAACAGCAGGATTAGAGAGAGAGTTACTCAAGATGTTAAAATTTATCGACACGAATGAAACAGGTGAAACATACTGCCTGTATAAAACATTGCTCAAAATGATAAAGCGCCTCCGATTGTCTCACCGACATTTACTCTTTATTTCGTGCGAGTGGCACAACACAGAGAGGAAAGGAAACTTCAGCTGGATTTGCGAAGGAGAGGGAGAAAAAGCTTCCGATAAGTTTTCTGCGGCACACGCTTCGTGCATTTGTTTCCGTAGCAACAAGTGAACATACATATGAAACAAAAGCCGTAAACTTGCAAGATTCCCGAGACCTGGCACAAAACCGATAGGAAATACGGGGTTTGAGTTACACGGCCTCGCATCCCTCGTTTAGCTATTTTACAGAAAATCACCGCGCGGCAATTTAAACGTTACTATTTTCTCCTGTAGTCTGGGGAGCTGTCGAGTATTTAAGGGGGCACTTTGCTGGCTCTGTACGTTCAGAAACTGCTTTCTCGAGAACAGCGTTTTCCTTTACTAATTCAATCCTACATGCAGGAAGGCTTGTCACCGAATCACTTGAAAAAGGCCAAGCTCATGTTCTTTTATACCCGGTACCCAAGTTCCAATATGCTGAAAACCTACTTCTCAGACGTAAAGGTAAGAAAATCTCTTCCCTCTGCCTCCCCCCCCCGCGCCCCTCCCCTCGCCCTTACTGCATGCTATATTTGCTCATGAAAAGGTATCATGTTATCATACGAGAGATTAATAATATTTCTGGGTACACAAAGGTTGCAGCTGACTTTATTCACTTGTTCTTCCTGTTGAGGTGCACTCTGCTTGTGCCTAGAGGAGGAAAGGGGAGGTTGGAGGATTTTAAATTAAAAATAAAAAATTGCTGACGTTTCAGAGCAAAGTAAGAATAATTATTACAGTAAATTAAACCATTTTCATTATAGGTATCCTATTAAAAAAGGAGATTTCTGTGGTGGTAGAAATGTACTTCCAAGAACATTTTGGAGCAGTTCTCAAGTGCTCCCTTATTGTTTCATTTCGGTTGGTTTCCTCATATTTGTGCTTACATAAGCAGAGTGTAGAATCCCTTTCTTTCTGTCAAAAAGAAACAGTACATTGAAATTCTCCATGCAGAAGCTGCTTAAAAACAAAAGTGATGATTGTCTCTTATTTACAACTTAATTTGTTGTTGATGCAGAGT